ATACTATTCTCTGATTTTTCTTTTCTTCTTTTTACATTAGCTTTTTTTTTTTTAAACACTTATTTTTGAAAGACTGAGTTCCGGGGTGGGGAGTGGGGGCAGAGAGAGGGAGACAGGAGCCAAAGCAGGCTCTGCACTCAGTGCAAAGCTCAATGTGGGGCTTGAACTTAGAAAACCATGAGATCATGTCGTGTACCAAAATCACCAGTTGGCCACTTAACCAACTGAGCCACCCAGGCGCTCCTGTTCGCTGATTTTTCATTTCTAACATTATTTGGTCCTAATGGATTTTGAACTTGTGTTTGTGGCTGGCCTTGGCCTTAGAATGTTTAACATTAATTTCCTAGGAAGATGACATTTTTTTTTTTTAATTTATTATTTCTAGGAGAGAGAGAGACAGACAGTGTGAGCAGGGGAGGGTCAGAGAGAGGGAGTCACAGACTGAAACAGGCTCCAGGCTCTGAGCTGGCAGTCAGCACAGAGCCCGACGCAGGGCTCGAACCCACGAACCGTGAGATCATGACCTAAGCAAAAGTTGTACGCTTAACCGACTAAGCCACCCAGGTGCCCCGGAAGATGACATTTTTATGTTCAAGTTTGGTCAAAGAGGGTGTATGTTAAAGCTCTGATCAACTCTTTGAAAGTACTGCATTACTTTCAAAGAAAGTATTGCCTTAAAAATATGTTAAATTGGGCCGCCTGGGTGGCTCAGTCAGTTAAGCACTGTACTTTGGCTCAGGTCATGATCTTAGTTTGTGAGTTCTAGCCCTACATACGGCTCTGCTGTCAGCACAGAGCCAGCTTCAGATCCACTGTCCTCATCTCCCCTCCCACCTGCCACCCCTATTCTCTACCCCTCCCCTGCTTGTAAACACTCTGTTTCTCTCAAAATGCATAAGGAAACTTTAAAAAATATGTTAAATTTATGGGGTGCCTAGATGGCTCAATTAATTAAGAGTCTGATTCTTGGTTTTGACTAGGCTAATGATCTCCCGGTTTGGGAGTTTGAACCCCACATTAGGCTCCGCCCTGTCAGTGAGGATTGGGATTCTCTCTCTCCCTTGCTCTCTGCTCCCTCTCACACTTGTGCTCTCTCTCTCTCTCTCTCAAAATAAATAAATAAATCTTTAAAAATACGTTAAATTTACATAAAATGTACATATGGAAGAATGGCTTTTTTCAAAAGCTTACTCAAGGAATGACATTTTGCTATGTGAGAGGATAGTATTTTCCTTTGTTTTCATTAAGAAATATTAGGATAGGAAAAATAAGCAACAGAGTTTTAACAGGAATGTTGAGTATCTGAAATTTATAGAGGCAAAATTTTCTTGGTAATGCTCAATGTACTTTTCAATATATATCAGTGATTTGGAGGGACTAAATTTTTTAAAAGTGTTTCACTGGATTTTGATATTCTTTCTAGTGGGAACTACCAAACTGTAGACTTCTCATCAGTTTTAGGTAGTAGTAAATTGTGATGTGCCAGAGTTAGGTGAGGGTTTAGCATTTTGTCACAGGAACAATAGGAAAAAAACCTTGTAAACCACTGTTGACTGGATTAATTTAAACATGGTAAGTTTAACAAAACGTAATACTTCAGTTTGTCTATGTCTCCAACTGTTATTTAATAATTCAAAATAGCCTGAGCAAGTGTTCTTTCCTTTAGCCTCCTGTCCCTCTTCCTATCTACTCCAAGAAAAGAGGGGGAGGATCCATGTGAACTAAAGACTAATGCAGTATTTTGCGGTACACTATAAAACTGTTAGGTGTTGCTTCTATTGTGATCACAATGGAAAAGCAAAGTAGTGGCTACCCTTCCCAACTTGTAATATTCCTTTCAGTATCTTTTAGATACTCTATTGGCCCATCAAACCTTTTTTTATTTTTAGTTTTTAGTGTTTATTTATGAGAGAGAGAGAGAGAGAGAGAGAGAGAGGGAGGGAGACAGCATGAGAATTAATTCTCCACTTGTAAAGAAAGGAGGCTTATTGTCAATAGAAACCTGAAAAAAAGAAACCTGAAAAGACTGCTGTTCTGGGCCTGTTTTCTGAACTTACCAGGTGGAGTAAGGGGTACCCGGATGGCTCAGTCCGTTAGCCTCTGGTGCTTGGTTTCAGCTCAGGTCATGATCTCACGGTTCACAAGGTTGAGCCCCACATGGGGCTTCATGCTGACAGTGAGAAGGAAGCCTGTTTGGATTCTGCCCCTCCCCTGCTTGCTCTCTCTCTTAAAATAAATAAACTTAAAAAAATAAAAATAAATAAATTTTAGAGTTAAAACTGTGTCTTTCCAGGATGCCTGAGTAGCTCAGTTGGTTAAGTGTCTAACTTCAGCTCAGGTCATAATCTCATGATCTGTGAGTTCGAGCCCCACGTCGGGTTCTGTGCTGATAGCTCATAGCCTAGAGCCTGCCTCAGATTCTATGTCTCCCTCTGCCCCTCACCCACTCACGCGTGCGTGCTTGTACCCTTGCGTGCGTGTATGTGCGCATGCTCTCTCTCAAAAATAAGCATTTAAAAATTTTTTAAATAAAATGACTATTTCCAAGGAGTAATTGTGAGAAATCTATATTACAAAAAACGCTCAATCATTAGGCACCAAGGAGCCCAAATTTCATATTGCTGGACAAAAATCACATACTGGGGCTTATGTACTTGTCTTAAATCTCATATAAAACTATTTGAGTAAATAGAGGGTCTGTATTCAGTATTTTATACTCCCCATTGCCATACCATTCTGCAGAATTTGACTAACACTAGAATTCCTAAAGCCAAACAGGAAAGACAATGGTGTACAAGCAAGATTATGACCTCTCAGTTACAGGGTAAACTACAGGCCTTCAGAACCAGCTTTATATAAATGTAAAAATGTGACAAGAAGTCAGAGGTTAAAAGAGCTCTTAAATATAAGTCCTATCTTCTGAAATTCCTGGTGTATGTATTTACTTAACATGGTTGTAATCATATTATACACACAATGTTGTACTTTACATCACAAGTATTGTCCATGTTATTACATGGTCTTGAAACCTATAAAAACTGTAAATTTATAAGTACCAGAATTTAATAAATATTCCCTCCAACCCTGGAGGTTCTAACCATAAGAGGTTACATCCATGCAACTTTCATGGATGCACTCTCTTATGCATTTAAGGGTATGCCCTTAGAAAATTCCCAGAAGTGGAATTTCTGAGTCAAAGTTTGAGTATTTTTATGACTGGGTACATCTTGCCCAATCACTCTCCAAGTAGTGCTAATTTACCCTGCCACTACCAAGAAAATCATGCTAGTTTTATGGGCAAAGTTTTATTGTTTAAAGTGAAAGAAAGCAAGCAACGCAGACCTAGAGATAAAGATAACAAAGAAAGGACAATAGAATAATCTGTTTTCATTTCTAGAATAATAGCAACTCAAAAATGTTTACTATGTGCCAGACACTGTTCAAAGCTCAAAATCCCTCCCACCCCCAAATAAAACCTAAGAAGTTCATGCTCTTAGTATCTCTAACTGCAGATGAAAAAAACAAAGGAGAGAGAGGTTAAGAAACTTGCCAAGATGACGCAAGCAAGCACGGAGCCTGCGTGTGCACTGTCAGGAGTCAGAGGCTCTCCTCTTACCCAGCACACTGAAGAGGGAGCGCAGATGAGGAACACAGGGCTGGAGACCCCACCCAGTAAGCTTATTTTCACCGTCATAAATGAAGACTGAGCAGTCTGTGAGAAGAAATAGAATTTGGGTCACAGGTTAAATTTTGGATGCTGAGTCTAATAACTGACTTAAAATTATTCGTTTATTTAATATTTAACTTCCCTTTCAGTGTCAGACTAGAACCTGAGGCTTCAGCAGGAACAAAACTGACAGAATTCCTGAACTCGTGGCAAACATGAAAAATCTACACTGATCTGTTAGCTTTTTGCTCATTTACAAATTTAAAAGTTTCCCACGTGCTGAGTCAAGTTAGCAACAAAGGTAGACATCACTAAGAGCACTCAAATTTTATTTCTGGCAAAGAGAAAGAAACTTCAAAAACTGAATGCAAATATGACAGTCAGGACCAGAGGCCTGAGTACAGATGATATTATCAGAGAGTAAGGCTGGGTTGGAATGACTGTACACAGAATACCCAGAAGAATACATACAGGTATTATTCTGGTGTTCATTTATAATAGACTTGTTTATAAAAATTAGTTTCAAAGAAAAGAAAATGGTAGAGAATAGATGAGATAAAATATAACCACAAATAGAAAACTATAAAATGATAAAGAATCAGACCAATATGAATAGGAAAATTAATATCTATTATATCTAGATTTCGTAGGTCCTACCATCTCTTTGCAGTACACTAGACTCTATGAAGCTATACACAACACTTCATCATTTCCCCAAAAATGCACTAGGGCAAAGAGAGATAGTTACCCTTGCTATACTTTTTACTAACACTCAACTACTACTTCATTATTAGCATATCAGTTTGCTAGAGCTACCATACAAAATACCACAGACTGTGTGGCTTAAACACAGAAAGGTTACTTTTCATTAAGTCTGGAGGCTAAAAGTCCAAGATCAAGGTGACAGTGAGTTTGTTCTTTTCTGAGGCCTTTCTCCTTGGCTTGAAGAAGCCTGCCTTCTCACCGTGTCCTCACAGGGTCTTTCCTCTGGACACACATGCCTTTGGTGTCTTTCTCTTATGATCAGAATTCTTTCTTCTAAAGACACCAATCAGATTAAATTAGGGCCCACCCCGTCTACCTTTGTTTAACTTAATCATCTCTTTGTTTTATTTTTTTTTTAAGTTATTTTGAGAGAAAGAGAGAGAAAGAGCAGCATGAGAGGGCAAAGGGCAGAGGAAGAGGGAGAAAGAGAATCCTAAGCAGGCTCCACACTGTCAACACGTGAAGCCTGACACAAAGCTTGATCTCACAACCACGTGATCATGACCTGAGCTGAAATCAAGAGTCTGGATGCTTAACCAGCTGAGGCTCCCAGGCACCCCTTAATCACCTCTTTAAATGCCAGCTCTCCCAACTCTCCAAATTCGGTCACATTCCCAGGCACTGGGGATTAGCACTTCAACATATGCAAAGGGAGGCAGCAAGCAATTCAGCCTCTAACAATGGAGCAAATGGAAGAACTCATGAGTTAAAGCTTAATGTTTTAAGATCATAAAATAAAAATACCAAAAAAGCTATTCTGATACAATCTCTATACAACCCATATTTTTTTAAAAGAATACTTCAAATCATTCATGAGCTCACTGCTCCAAATAATTAACACCTGGACAATTGTCTAACTTTCTGCAAAATATGTCTGGAAGGGGAAAAAGTTATCACTCCTATTAAAACCTCATTTCTACAAAGTACAATGGTTATTATTAACCTTTTTTGCAGCCACTATAAGCCCTTTAAAATTCTGATGAAAGAAAAAGGATGCTCCCTGAAAAGGGGGGGGGGGGGGGCAAGCTAAGAGCAAAATACAGGATGGCACCACCCTGCCCCCAGGTGGAATATGTGATATCTATCCCTCAGGTCCTGGCTACCCAAGAACAGAAAGGGCTTTAAGTGCTTGTCACGGTAATGTGGGAAACTAAGGCATATGAAAAATTAAATTCCCTTAACCTAGAGCCCATTGACAAGACCCTGACACCAGCAGAGTGACCTCCCTCTAGGGGCTCAGCTGTCTCGATGACACTTTGCTGGGGGCAAAAGGACTTAGCTTAACATTATCCCAACCTTGAGGATCCTATAAGTCTATTTCCTTTATCTCAACTGCCCCCAATATATGCTGGCAATCATACTCCAAGCTTATGGCCTAAACATCTGAAGGGTCTCATGACTGAGGTTTTTCTAAACAGTAATAAATGGCATTTCCCTAACAACAGCTAGCCCCTCAAGTTCCTAGAAACCTTGCTTCCAAAATTCCTTAGAGACTCATTCTATCCCTGATCCCCTCCCAACCTGAGGGTATATAATGAGTTACCTGTCACAGCCCCAGTGCAGCAATTTCTGCCCACAGGTCCTGTCCCTGTGCTTTAATAAAATCATCTTTTTGCACTGAAGACATTTTCAATAATTCTTTCTTGGTTGTTGGCTCCAGACCCCCATCCCAACATCACCCCAAAACTTCATCACTCCCTGTGGAAAGGACACATAGCCACAAAGTCTGGCATGATTGCTGTTTCGGGAGATGCACAACCCACCTCCCTAAAAGCTCATCAGGATCCATGGACTCAGGTTAAAGAGCACTAACCTAAAGAACCACTGATATCTAAATTAATAACTAAGTCTATCCCAAAGTGGACCAAAATACTTGAAATTGAGATTATCTTGAAAAAATACAGGATATATAGTAACCACGTTTATATTTAGCTACTTAGCAAAGGACTGGAAGTATCTAATGATCAACCAAATAATATTAGAATAAATTTTAACCCTATTAGCCAACACTTAAGGTGGGGAGAGTAGAGAAGAGAGAATAAACATTACTTCAGAAAGTCTAAGAAGACCTACTGCAATTCAGCACAAACTCTTAGAATAAAAAAGAGAAAAATAACAATAGGTAGAAATCACTTCTGTCTATGGACAGAAGATCCATTATTTTCTATACACCAAAGGCATAGGCAACAAAGACAACATTATGTTGTGAAATTTCAAAACCTGGCTTGTTTTCTACTCTCTTTACGCCTGACTTCCCTCAAAAAGCAGCTTTGGATATGTTCAGACAATTGGGCAAAAGAGAGACTTCTGTAGAATTCACTATTCCACCTGGGGACCTCTGTGGATAATTTTACTAAGATGTAAACTCCCCAGGAAAGGGACCCTTGTCTGCCTGATTTACCACTGCTGCCTCTGGAGCCTCATTCAAAAATCGTTTGTTGAATTCAAATGGATGCTGTATTCTAGAGACAGGCTGAATGTGGAAGACAGGCTGAGAATTAATATCCATCTCCTCTGTACAAGCAGCTCAAATGGATCACTATAGCTTTGTGTTGGATCCAACATGATAATAAGTGGCAATATGGAGTCCCAGAAAACAAAAGTGCTATTCATTAAAGAGATTTTTTGTGCCGTTATTTTCTAAAGGGATACCCCCAAAATAATTTGCTGGAGCTCCAGCTGGGAAAATAGCTGAAAAATGTGAATTTTTATTTCCTGGTCTAGTACTTTAATTTCCCTTCTATGGACTTTATATGATCAAAAGTCCAAGTTCATCTGTAAAGTGAACACACAAAACCCCCCACGGAAAAGTGAAAATCAGGTTTATTCCACCATAGATGTATCTGAAGAATAAATTCAACTTCTTGGCTCTGAGCAGTTAAGAAGTCAGTTAACCTCAAAATTCCTGGAGCTTGAACAAGAACTAAAGAGAGTAAGAAGAAAGGCAGTAAAATGTATGAGGGGAAAGAAATTATCTGGTCACTTTCTGATTTACCTCAGAAAGTTAAAATCTCTATTAACCTCACCAGATATTCTTATGAGCCTCACTGACCTGGCAAAACCACTAGGTCTTTGACTACTTTCTAGTGCACCAGGTTCAGATGCTCGCTTTAAATGAAATAGCAATGAAGTAACTGGTTTTTTTCCCCTAAATAAATCCTTTCCAGAAACAAAAATATTGTCATACTGTAAATATTAGTAGGGGACTATTTGAAAGGTCCTTAAGGACCCCTAGTGGGCCCCAGATTCCTTGGTAAGTCTCAAATGTAAAATAAAACAGCTGTGAAATGGGAAAACTGAACAAAATCAGATTATTTTCCAAGACTCCCTTCTACAATTATACAAAAGAAAACTGCACATATATGGAAACCAACTTGACAATAAACTATTTAAGAAAAAAAAAATTGCCCAATTTAGAAACAAAGGTCTTCAGTGAGTAATACCAAAGCTAACTGTACTAAGCAAGCATATTTTAGACTTTATTGCTCCGTATTCCAAACCAAACCTAGAAATGATTTTAGAAAATTAAGTACCTAAGCTCATTAAAAAGAAAAAAACTTACACAAGTAGGTAAGATGTTAAAACAGTAATTTATAGTATTATACAAGTAGGGAAGTACACACTCATTAGAATGCATATTCATCGCTCATAGCTGGGAAAAAATTACTGGTAAGCACTCTACGACAACCTCTTACCTAGACGAAATACATGGGTCTAAAGTCATTCTGCAGTACTCAGCTACTCAAGAGAGTATACTGCACATCTCAACACCAAATCTTGTACAGTACTATATTTTAATCACTGCTACAAAATCAAAATAAAATATACTTAAAGCCATTAAATGCGTTAAATTAGAATTTTATTTGGGGGGCACCTGGGTGGCTCAGTTGGTTAAGTATTCAACTCTTGGTTTCAGCTCAGGTCATGACCTCATGGTTCATGAGATCAAACCCCAGGTTGGGCTCTAGGGCACTGACCGTGCAAAGCCTGCTTGGGATTCTCTCTCCCTCTCTCTGCCCCTCCCCTGCATGCCCTCTCTCTTTCAAAATAAATAAATAAACTTTAAAAAAACTGATCAATCTCTGAAAAACACTTTTTAAAAATTTCCTAATAGGTTTTGATTCAAAATAAATGGAGGGAATGATAGAAATAGATGTTACAATTTTCTTTTACTAAATTAATGGATCTGGGCATTGATCATCAGTAGCTGTTAATGTCACAAACCTGAAACACAGCACATGCTCCTGATGGAAGGAAAGAAGACGTTTAAAAAAAAAAAAATTCTAATCTGGTCAATCCTTTATTTTATTTTTTTAAAATTAATATTTAACTTTTTTTTTTTCTAGGAGAGAGAGAGAGAGAGAGAGAGAGAGAGAGAGAGACAGCGTGAGCAGGGGAGGGTCAGAAAGAGAGGGAGATACAGACTCTGAAATAGGCTCCAGGCTCTGAGCTGGCAGTCAGCACAGAGCCCAACGTGGGGCTCGAACCCGTGAACCGCGAGATCATGACCTAAGCGAAAAGTCGGACGCTTAACCAACTAAGCCATCCAGGCACCCCTGGTCAATCCTTTAAAGCCAGCTACCAATTTACAGAAAACACTAGAGACAAAAATATGTTACACTTCCGAAAAATACAAAACAGTAAAATCTAGCAGAGAAACTGTACCACAGAACAAAAGAAGGCTGGTTTCTTCAAGCAAACTCCAAGCAAACTCTCTTAGAAAGAAAGACAAAGACAGACTGGGGATCGGCAGGGTGTATGTTGAGGGAGACTATGGATTCAAAGAGACTTAACAAGAGCCCCTCTTGCTGGCTTAGTCAATAGAGTATGCAACTCTTGACCTCAAGAGTCTTGAGTGCAAGCTCCACACTGGGCATGGAGCCTACTTAAATACAGACACATACACACACACACGAAACTTAAGAAACCAACCAAATACAATGGATGCGGAGTCAAACAGACGTACTATAAAAATTAATATATACGTATATGTATGTATTTTTTAAGTCCTTACCTCTTAGATATACATCTTAAAATCTTTTTAGATTAAGTGATATGATAGTTGAGATTTCCTTCAAAACAATATGGGAGAGAAGAAATGGGAGTATAGATCAAACAAGACTGGCCATGAGATGATAGATTGCTGAAACTGGATATGGCTAAGCGCAGGTTTGTGATTCTACTATTTCTATATTTTTGTACATTAACTGAATTTTCTCATAATTACTGGTTTTTAAAAAGGAAATAATTGGCAGCATTTGGAAAACAGTGGATTAACCAGCCTAGGAATGTTCATTATGCGCACACAGGGTGAACCTGCATGCAGTCTGATTTAGAGGAAAATGTGGAGTGGTGGTTCCTGGGTAAAATAGCTCCACAGGACTCCTGGTAGGTAGGTCCCTCTCAACTAAGCCCCAGGCGATATGGTGTATCACTCCTCCTAGGTTCAGACACCGGGCACCAACCAATACAAATTCTTTTTGCCCTACTCCACACTAGTTACTAAAAACTAAACAGGAAACAATTGAGAGAACAACAACAACAACAAAAAAAAAACAGAAAAGGAGACAAAAACATAGTCAAATAAAAAAGAACTGAAAGTCAACAGAGATCAAGACCAATCGATCCACTTCTTAATTAAAGAGATATGGCTTTCAAATTCCCTCATTCTGTAATCTAAATGAGCAGTCTATTAATACCTGAACCTGCCTTATGTATAAGTGCACTGAACTTTCATAACTTTAAAGATAAGTATAAATTAAATATTTCAATAAATGCATAAGAAATTTTGCTATTTAAAGATATCTCATTGTAAATTCTTTTATAACAATATTAACCCCTCCGCATTCACCCATGGGGAAAGGAGAAATGACAGTATTAGTATTAAAATATTAATATTATTAATAATGTAGCCATTGACATTTATTAAGCATGTATTAACACATTAATTTCATCTTCAGGGCAACTCTATGAGATATATACAATTATTATTTATTCACATTTCACAAATGTGGAAACTGACCAATTAAAGTATAATGAATATTTTAAAATAATTGATAATACAAGCAGTTCATCCTAAAATATTAAGTGATGAATTGTTTTTTTTCAAGTTTATTTTTGAGAGAGACAAAGAGCATGAGCAGGGACAGGGCAGAGAGAGATGGAGAGAGGGAGAATCCCAAGCAGGCTCCACGCGATCAGCGTGCAGAGCACGACTCAGGGCTCCAACTCAGGAAACTGTGAGAACATGACCTGAGCCAAAATCAAGAGTCAGACACTTAACCACCCAGGTGCCTGAGTGGGTCATTTTTTAAAATGTGCTTTATAACAGCTTTAAACAAGCTGTGTGTGTATACACACATATTGATATAAAAATAGAAGAGTCAAAGGATTTGCTCAGAAGTCACCAAATCAGCTGTACAGAGCTTCCTAATTATAAGTTCAGTATATCAATGATGATATTTCCTAAACCCTCAAATTCCAGTGGTTCTCCATTCTTTAAAAGGAAAATTAAGTCACAAACCAAAGTCAGTTCAAATTCATTTTAAAAGAAATGTTTCTTTTGCCCAGGAAATGGTCAAAGACTCAAAGATTAACTGAACACGCACAGATCAAAGCTGAACAAAAAGCCAAAAGGAAAGCATTATATATTATCTACTCTTTAAGGGCATGGATCCTGTATGGTATTTTATAGACTCTTCTCATGGGATCAAGCACAGAATACTTTACACATAAGAAGAGCTCCATTAAAAGTAAATGCCAGGCACTGTTGTACAACAGCATCCAAGTCTCCCACATCATCATCAATCTGGCCTCCAAATAAAGTGGGAAGTAATACTTAGCAAACTCTTTTGACTCAAAATACCTACTCTTCACTGTTAGTATCCACCGCCGGACTTGCTGGGTAGGAAAACCAGTTTGACAAGGCAATCACTGCCCTGTTCCAGAGACAACTTCATAAACTCAGTACCCAAATCCCACAGTACCTCCCCACAAGGAAAAACTGTTCTACCCATGACTTTCTTATAAAGCCTCAATATCCTCTGTCACCAAAGGTTGATAACTTAGCATGGGGTTTTCAATCTTTCTTGAACTGTAGACACTTCAGAATCTGAGGAAAAGTCTTAAGTTCTCTGCCCAAGAAAAAGGCCAGGGCATGCACACAAACAATTCTGCACAGAATTCAGGGGAAATCTTAAGGCTTCTGATTAATAGCTCCTGTCTTAGTTCTTCTTTGTAATTTTGCCTTTCACCATCATAGGGACTATTTATTTAACCTTTCTTCCCTACCTGTTACCATCTTTGTCATTTACTCACTGTACTACTACTATAGTACACTGTACAACTACTGTAACTGCTCACCCAGCTGCCCCCCCCTCCCCCCCAGGTCTCATCCACTGCCCCACCCACACCCAGCAGTATTACCAAATGGCTACTATATGCCTTCCTTGGGACACTTACCTTGGTCTATCTTGATTTCCTCTCCCCTACTATACTGTAAACTGAAAGGTATGAGTAATCATACTTTTTTCTGTAGCTCTCACAGAGCATGCAGCACAGTGCCTTGTACTTGGCAAGCATTCATTAGAGTGAATCAATGTCAAACCTAAGGATTTAAAAGAAACCAGCAAATCAGCAACAATCTTTTAAATGAAACATGGGAGTATCTGACTAATCAATACTTAGGCAGACTAGGAAGTTGATGCAATTAGGCAACTCCACCCACTGCTTCCTGACCTAGTGCACTGCTAGCTCAGAGACGTGGATGAAATAGAGACACAGGGGACGCTCTCCAGGTCATGGTCACTTTAATCTTCATTACTTTTCTGAAAAGCAAAACACAGTTGAGTAGCAGCTTTTTTCCAGCACCCTATTTACCTAAAAATCCTATGCAATGTCAGATTTTAAAGAAAATTCTACTCACTAGCCATGTGCAAATACTTCCACCAAAGTTTTCCAACTTAATACTGTCAGTGTAAGTAGAGTAAAAACAACTTTCATGTTGCTTTCATGTTTCACATTCTGTTCCACGACAGAACAATCTAGATAAGCAGGCATTCAGCTATGAGTTAGGCAACATCCTTCTCATTTTCAAAGCCCCAAACCACATCCTTTAAATACTAAAATATACAGACATGAAGTCCCAACAAAAAACATGGTAAAGTCTCCCCATGAGTCTTTACTATATTAAACACAGCTGTCTAGGGTCATGTTTACATAGATTTTTTTTTTAATGCCAAGCAAACATCAGTGCTAAAATATTTCTGATAAAAAGACTCCTACACACCCAAACTGGAAACGAAAAGGACACCAAGAAGTTTAAAAATACTTTCATCTTTAAGGGCAATAAAACATAAACTGGGTCCTCTTATCATGTTTTGATCATTTTGGTATAACAGTGATATGTATTTATTTCAAAGCCACAATGCTTCATTACTTCAATAGAAAATCTTAACTTCCCTGATTCTTTCTAAATTAATTATAAAGTATGAAGAATTCACACCCAGAACCCTTAGGTACTTCAATTATTAATAAACCAAACCACAAAGGAGAACCTGATACCAAGATCAGATTTCACTGCTGGGTCAATAGGTGGCACAACTATCCATACCAAACAACAAAGCCAAACACACCAGAAGTTAAGAATGATACAGGGGCGCCTGGGTGGCTTAGTCGGCTAAGCGTCCGACTTTTGCTTAGGTCATGATCTCTCAGTTCCTGGGTTCGAGCCCCGTATCGGGCTCTGTGCTGACTGCCAGCTCAGAGCCTGGAGCCTGTTTCCGTCTGTGACTCCCTCTCTCTCTGACCCTCCCCTGCTCACGCTGTCTCTCTCTCTCTCTCTCTCTCCTAGAAATAAATAAAAAAAAAAAAAGAAAAAAGAAATGATACAAAACAACATCACCCCAAATTTCTAGCAATAAGCCTTTTCCTCTCATACTGCCAATCTTATAAAAACAGACTATTAGTACAAATAAAGTAACCAATCATAATTCACAAACTGCTGGAATTTGTGACTTGTATGTCCAACTCCTGTCAACCTCAAAGCAGGATCCTACTCCCAAGGCAAGGTGGTCTTATAAGTTAACAAGCCGTAGCCACTGGAAAAATAAAACAAGTATCTTCCCTAAACATACCAGCATCTGAGCTGTAAGGAATGTTTTGTATCTACAAAACACTTTTGCAAACATCTCACCTGCCCTCAATCTGTTCTTCAGATCATCTCTTGACTGTGTACAAAGGTATCAGCTGTTCCTTCTTTCTTTTCTCCCCAGTCTCCATATGCCTATTCCCCTATGCTCATGTCACCACAAACCTATAACCTTAATGTTTTTGTATTGTAATCTACAACCATTGTGACCAAAAGGAGATAAAAACTCAGAATCTGAAACTTGCTCAAGATCAAGTGGTGATATAGCTGTAACTTCAAAAGTCAACATTTTCTGATACACTACAACCTCAAAACACTAAATTTTAAGTTATAAAAGATTCAGGGGCACCTGTGTGCCTCAAGTTGGTTAAGCAGCTGACTCTTGGTTTTTGCTCAGGTCATGATCTCACGGCCCACTTTAGGCTCCACGCTAGGCAAGGAGCCTGCTAAAGGTTCTCTCTCTTTCTCTCCCTCTGCCCTTCCTTCACTCACACACTTTCTCTTTCAGTGTTTCATATAACAGTGCCTTCAAGGAGAGTAACATTTACTATAACTCTTATTTCTACTCTGAGTGGGATGTATAGGTGAGAAAAATATCAAATACCCAAGGATAATCAAATAGGATGTTCTTCTTCATCCTGAATTCATGTGGAAAATAATTATTGAGCACCTAAAGATATGCTCCAATGTGCCTGAAACCCTTATAAAGGATAAATGAAAGCCAAACAATGTGTGAACAAAGGTTTCAGCAGCAGCTCAAATGGAAAAAAGTAGAGAATATGAGTTATCACAGAGTCTCTAAAATACGACAAACACAACAGAATTTGCAGAGTGAATGGCAGCATTTATACTGTAAGTATCAATTTAGTTTTTCAAACTTTATCCAAAATAGTATCAAAATATTAAAGTATATATAGTATATTAAAGTATATTAATATTAAAGCATAAAATACATAATTTATAGTTGCATAAGACCTAAAAGCATACACGGTTTACTAGTTTTGTTCATACATATTGAACTACATAAAAATGTAATGTAAATTTTTTTTAATTCTATCTGTATTAAAGGGCCTTAATGAATTTCTTCCTTTAGATGAAATTTCATCCTTTGGATGGTTCACATGTTACTCCAATTTACAAAATAATGCTCCAGGCCAGAAATTATTTAGTGCAAGAGAGGATGCGAACAGCATAGGAAAAACTATTAATATAGTTATGAGTGTTTACCTCAGAGATTTGAGTAAAACTACACAGACCGTAGAGACCTCTAGACCTACCCTCAATGAAATCTGCAACACTAGCACTGCACTCAAATCGCAACTTCAGGGGCACCTGGCTGGCTCACTCCTTAGAGTAGGAGACTCTGGTTCTCAGGACAGGAGGTCAAGCTCCATGTAGGGTCAACAGTCTTAATTTAAAAAATTTTAGAAAATAAACTGCAACTATCTCGTGGGGGCCTAAAGAGATCAGGCCTTTCTTACCCTGGGGAATTTTCTTCCATGTCACAAGTATAAAATAATTTCCAGTCTCTAATTTGAACATTCAAGCAATCCTTACTCCTTCTATTCAAATCTCAGTTTGTGACCTAAGGTACCAACCAGATCTTTTCTTCACTCAGTATTTACTGAGCATCTACTATGTACAAGGCACTCCTCCAAAGATTAGTGATACAGCAGTGAACAAAATATAAAAATACTCATCCTCATCAAATATACATTCTAGCTGGGAGACAGACTAATAAAGCACATGGTACATGAAAGGTCTTTATGGAAAGGAAAGGAAGTACAGAGCATATGTATCATAAATAAATAACATATCTAAAGCATAAGATTTTGGAAAGCTATTTTACAGTCAACCATATCATGAAACAAAAACTTTTTTAGTAAATAAAATTCATTACAAAGAATAAGAATGCCCTTTTCTATGACAAATTTAGAAATGGAATAAGAACATGAGGATAATAGAAACAAAATGTCACATAAAGCAAAGTCTTTTTGGAAAAGAATCTGATCCTGCTGTGTGCACAAACCATTCCTAAAATACCTTAGATTTGAAACAAATTTTAGAAGATTTATGGGGAGACACACAGACACACACACAGACACAGACACAGACACACACACACACACACACACACACACACACACAAACTTAAAAGAGAGTTTAAGACAATGTAAGGGAAAGGAAGAATATCCATCCAGGAATCGGACTAAAAATCAAGAGGTTATTCTTTAGGTCACTCACTATTAGCCTAAGTGTATGCTATTTCCTAAATTTTTATCACTAAAACTAAATTTGATATAAAGAGAAAAGTGATGTCATGGCTATCTGAGGCTACTCAGCTGTAAACTGCCTGCACGATTACAGGAACACACAAATCAAAACTACAGAAAAATACCTTCTACAGGTTCTCATTTGGGAAGATGGCAAGGGGAAAGGAGGAACATCAGCAGAGGAATAAAAAACAGGCAAATCCAACAGAAAAACATGATCTTTACCTTAACATGAAAATAAAGGCTAGCCATAAGGCAAAGAAAAGCAGTACTGAAATTAACATTTTTCCTAGCAGAACCTAGAAAAATAGGAAATGGGAAGGCTCAAGAGGGACATTTGATCAGAAAAATCAAATTGTTGTGAAATTTTCTTTTTGGTCTCAAACAAGTACTTTAATCCCAAAAATGCCCCTTAAAAAAAAAAGTTGCACAGAGAATTAGCTTAAGATCAGAAGAGTATGAATACCTAGGAAGTTAAAATCCATTTGGTTATATCAGCTGAAGAAAGTAGCCAAAGTTGATTAGCTTTTAAGGTTAAGCATCTGGCTCTTGGTTTCAGCTCAGATCATGATCTCAAGGTCCATGGGTTCAAGCCCTATATCCGGCTCTGTGCTCTCCCTCTCTCTCTCTCTGCCCTTCCCCCTCTTTCTCTCTCAAAAAAAAACCTTAAAAAACTTTTTTTAATTAAAAATAATGTTTATTTGATTTCTTGAGCAGAGCTTCCTTACTGTGGGAATTACAAAGTCTGAAAATCAAGGAATCATGAAATGACCACCTAGCCATGTGTTCATGCAATGATGGAGGACCAGAAAACCCACTTTCATCACTGAATTCTTAAGCTGACAGAGTTCAAAGGCTAGCTTATATTAAAAATTCACATGAATTTATTAAGTCATAATGGAGATCAAAATTCAATTTCAGAAATTGGAATATCTAAATTCTCCATTCATATGGTCTCCTCTCCTGGTAGGAACATTATTAAACCAGAAGGTTTGAAGGTTTGAGTTACACATGAAAAAAAAAGCAAAGAACTAATAGCCTACTATTGACTGGAAGCCTTATCGATAACATAAACAGTATTTTGTATGTTATATGTATTATATTCCGCATTCCTACAATAAAGCTAGAGAAAAGAAAATATGAAGAAAATCATAAGGAAAATACATCTACAGTACTGTAGTATAA